CTGAAGGAAACTGGCAACTTGCCACACATTAGAAACTGACTAAGGCCTCCACATGACATCACTGAAGATGCATTAGTTTAAGGGATTTGACATACTGGGAACATATCTTCATATTTCTCTAGGACCTTTTGCCCTGGCCTACCTCAAAACATCTTACCAGCCAAGTACAGGAATCTCATTTATGACTGAAGTGCAGCCACCTCTGTGGTGGGAACATGGCTGAGCCATGCCAACAACAGTATAAGATAGCAAAATCCATGCTTATCAGAAGAAACTAAAGGAAGCAGAGGTTTAAGGAGGCAGATTGTAGCCTGTATCAAATTATGATCAGGATACCTAGTCTAATGCCCCTGTTCTTGAGAAACTGCTGTTTAGCAGAGTGGATTTCCTCCTGCAGTGACCCCAGAAATCTGGGTTTGGTGTAGACAGCACACTCCATCACATGCTCACAGACGCACAAAAAAACCCCAACCCGGATGCACTTGCTTATTTAAAAGGATCCATTTGCTTTTAAGCAAAGCTGTTGCAGGTTTTGTATGAAAAGTACCAGACATATATTTTCAGCCCAAAGGCAGACTGTGCTGTGACAGTCAGGCCATCCTTGAATTACAGGGCTTGCATGAGGTACTTCAGAGAGGGAGTAACAGGATCTCGCTTCTACCTCTAGAACTGTGAAACAGAACAAAAATGTTTGAATTGTTTGATCTGCTTTCTGGAATTCAAAGAAGCTTCTGAGTGTTTTAAATATCCCAAGTTCTTGGCCAGTTTCCGTATTTACCTGGGGAGATGATTTTACAGACTCGCTTCTAGGAAGGTGTTTCCTGGTCTCCAGGTAAAACATTTCCCTTCTAACTTCAGGCCATTGCTCTTACTTCTGCTGGGTATTGAATCTGCTTCCTTGCACTTTTCTAATTCCTGTCCTGTTCTGGTGTTTACAGCCATCAAGTGCTTGCAGACTGTTACCAAGCCTGCTTTGTCTTCTCTTACCCAAGACAGACAATTTGTCTCTGTTAATCTTCCCTCATAAGTCAGTCCCTCCAGCCCTCTGACTATTTTTGTTGCTGTTGTCTATGCTTCCTCCAATTTGTCAGAGCTTAAAGGAAATGAGATGCCCAGAACTGAAAGCAGTGTACCAGGTGAGGTTGTAATTAAAGAGAAGAACCTAATCCTCTAATCTGTGATATGATGCCTCTGCATGTGCAGTCCCAAATGGTGCTGTCTTTTTTTACAGCCATATCCCATTACAAATTTATGTCAAGTTTTTGCCTGAACTTCCCACCTCCCTCTCTCAGCTGTTTCTGCTTCATAGGTTTCTTCCTTCCATTGAATATCTGGCTTTGAAGTTGTTTATCCCAGATGTATTAGCTGCATTTTTTTCCAAGTGCAAATGAGATTCTTACCTTCTGTCCACATTTCTAATATTTTTAGGCCTCTTCTTTTTTTCTCTCTCTCTCCCCTTTTATTTATTGTAGTCCCTTCTAATTATCTATGAATCTCAATAATATGCCATATTATCAGTTATCCAGATCATAAATGGAAATATTAATTCCTGATCTTACAGTGCAACTGTGATACTTTGACCTCCTCAGTGGTTTGCTGTCTATAATAACCTTCTGTTCAAGGCTCTCCAGCCAGTTTTCAGTCTGTGAATTTCTTTGAATTATATTTGTGTTAATTTTTTTTCCTCCTAAGAAGGAAGCAGTATCTGCGTTTAACTTGTTACTGATCCTCTTGCTATATAAAGCCAAGTGCCTGTGTTTTAAATTGTATTTTGGGTCCAGCTAATGTTAGAAAGAGGTATGTTTCTTCAGGGGCAATTTCCAGCTACACACTTGGCTTCCAAACTCCCCTATCTCCTTCTGGGATTAAGTGCAAAAATGTCTTCGGTTCCTCAAATCCTAGCCATTCATCTATTGCAGCAGTTCCAGGCACTGCTTTAATATAGTGAGAATAAACAGCCAATGTCCCATTGTAAGTTGGTGATGTTTCACGTCAAGATGAATTGAGAGAGTGGTGCTGGTTTAGAGAAGCTCAGATATGCAGCCCAAGTGCAGAATGGAGACCATGGAGAAGGTCTGTAGAAAGTATTGTCTGCTTGTATTTCTGCTATTGCCAGGGTACAAACCTCTGTCATTCACTTCTTTGCCTTGTTGTCAAGCCCAGAGGGCATGAAGAGCTCTCTGCAGCCTGACCTTCTGCACTCTTCTTCTAAGTGGATGAAAACTGTTTGGCAGGTTCATGTCATCGCAGCCCAAGTCGGCAACGTGCAGGCTCAGCCAGGGTGTACAAAGATGCAGAAGACCCATCCTCCCAGGGCAGACGCTACAACCACAGCACTGTAGCAGCAGAACTGCAGCGACTGTCAGAGAAACAGGCAGCCAGGCAGTATTCACCACCCAGCCACATCAGTCTCCTTACACAGCAGGTATGTGGGCAGTGAGGTTAGTTTCTCTTTGTTACTATGGAAGTCTGGCACATTCTTCTGTTTCAGAGTCACAGGACATGCTGAGAAGAAAGAATCTCATGAAAATTGTTTTTCTTTCTCGTTGCTGTGATGTCTTTACAGTAACTAAAACCCTATTAGATAATAGTTCTTTTAGGTTGCAGAGGGTAGTGATTGAAGCCCTGTCATTTAATATAGTTAGACTGGGCCAAAGCACTAGAAAATATATTGTAAGGAACAATCCTTTCCTAGCCCCCAGTGAGTAGTTTAAATGTGAACAAGGTCTTTTCCATCTTTAATTTCTCACATTCTTATTGCCTTAAAGTCAGCTCTCTGTTTCCTAACGGTGACGTGTCACACACTGGATTGCAGCATTACTGGGAGAATCAGGAAATAGAATGAGACTGATGAGAAGGGCAGAAAGTTTCCATAGTCTGTTTCCATAGAAATACCTGGGCAAGCAGAATGATAACAGTGGAAATCCAGAGAGAGCACAAGGCAGATTATAACAGATTTTGATAAAATTCTGTATTTCAGTCATATTCGAAACCGATTCTGAAGTTCAAGCTAGTGTGGAATGTGGTATAGCCCTTTTGCTAAGCAGGACATTCGTTCAGGAACATGACGGTGATGCTGTATGATCTGCCTTGGCTTCCAGCTAGCATTTTAAGGTCTCAGCTTTAAGCTGTAATGTCTTAAATTACCCTGCCTAAATGAGAGACCACCTCCCTCCATGCAGTATTGCTGCAGCTGTAATCATCAGAGGTGCTCAAGCTAGATTCACCAAACTGAATTAGAGAGACTGCCAATAGAAGGTTCTCCAAGTCAGGCCTTTCACTTTGCAAGTTACTCTTCCCTGTTTTCTATCTGCTACAAAATAACCCATATTGCTTGACTGTTGTGGAATGTTGTAGGGATCATCGATTTGGATGCATGTTTGGAAAATGTCATGTTGAGTGGGATTCAACAGTTATGTTTTATTGCATTTTCTGAGGGATGGCTAGTGGTTATGGTGGGCTGCACCTACTGGTGTTCTGCCTCTGTCTTTATTTTATTGTTTTAATTGGTGTTTGTGAATGTCTTGTTGGATTACTTAGCAATTGTGGTAAGTTTCTGTGTTTTCTTACCATTCAAAAATGTGGGAAACTGATTGACTTGGAAGGATACATAGATTACTTAGATGGTCCATAAAGTCTCAGTTCAATCCCGGTAGCTCTGACTACATTTGATGCCTTTGTCCCTTGTGTACAGTTCACTTGCTTCAGTTTGGCTTAATGGATATATTGCCATAACACCAAAACACCTTTGGAATTGGATCCTCTTGTTTTTCTGGGTCTGCGCCAAACAGGCTGAATGAACTGTGCAACCTGACCTTCTGTCTTGCCCCTAGAGAGGAAGGTCCCTAGAAGTATGGAGCAGTATTGGTAGGAACAGTGGGGAAACTTGATTGCTGCTTGCCTAGGTTGCTCTGTCTCCAAGAGATGTCAAATTATGTCTTTGCATCGGCTCTGAGAATACAGAATTTTTTTTAGTCAAAGACCAAATGTGTTTATGAACTCGGTTGTCTTGGACAAAAATTTGTAACTCACCTTTTTTTTTTAAGCGTTTCCATAGCCCTGCATTTCAACCTTCACAGTAAGGCATGTTTCAGTTTTGTCTTAAGTGAAATGCTTGTAGCCAAAGTACAATTTTTTTTTGGTTCAGAATTTCAGTTAATGGGAATTTTCTGTTTTCTTCCATAACGAAAAAAAATTCTCAATTGAGTCCCCACACAGTGACCTGCACTCACACGTGCACTCCTCCCTCATGCAAATGCACCCACCCTCATGCACTGCTACACTTGCCCTCTTTCTTGCCAGGCCCTCAATATCAATGTCCTTTGCTCAGGAGTGTGCTCTTCTACTTCACCTGCACAACTCTGTGCTGTCAAATGATGCTTGCTTGCACCCAGGCAAAATATTGCTTGTGTCCATCTGCCCACAGTATCGTATGCACACTCCCCCTCCCTGCTTGCAGTACTGCATGCACACTTGCCCACAAGCCTTTGCGCTCTTCCACCCACCCATAATATCTCCTGCCAAGTAACCATTCTGTTCCTTTGTTTCTCACAAGGCAGCAGTACCACCACTATGCATGCTCTTTTGCCTGTGTGCCCACCCACAGTACTACAGCCTCTTTCTCACAGAGTTGTTTCCTCTTTCTGAGTGCATGCCTGCAGTGTTGCATTCTCCCTCATTCATGCTCACCTGCTTCAGAGCTGCAGTCTTTCAAGCCTGGCCTTTCCTGCCCATAATGCCATATGCTGTCTCATGCAACTCCTACCTGCAGTAATGTTCCATCCTCCCCATCTTTTCAATGCCTGTTCACAATACCATATGCTCTCCCTTTCTCATGCTTATGTACTGACTCTGGCTGCAGTGCCATGGTATCTCCCCCTTGTGCATCCCACCACAGTGCTACATTTGCCCTTTCAAGAACATGCAGACATTTTGCCTTTCCAATTGCAGTGCCACAGTTTCTCCTTTTAGTGCCTCTCTGTCTGCAGTGACTCTTGCATGCATGCCCCCGAAATACTACTTTCTCCCTTGATTATGCCCACAGTACCATACCCACGGTTCCTCTCTCATGCGCCCACTATCATTATTGCACATGCCTTGGAGAAATTTCTCACATGCTGTCTCTGTGAAGAATCTATGTGAAGTATGTTATGTTGCTTCTTCTACTGTTGTGACCCTTTCTTACTTTGTCTCAATTGTACACGGCTAGACTTCCCTTCATGCATAAGGTTGGTGAGATGGTTGTAATGAAGCAGTTCTGTTAGTGCCTGGCATCCTTGGATTTCCATGATTTTTTTTCAGTCTGGGTCTTAAGACCTAATGCTGGACAAAGATTGTGTTAATATCTTTTTGAACGTGGAAGTAGTTAAGATTCAGTGCTTTCAATATGCTAATGATATTGAACATTGTATCCCTGGATCTTGAAGTGTTCTGATTTGTCTTTTGTTTGGGTAAGTTTGGGATGTGGGTGAAAGATTTTTGCAGATCAGGTTAGGTGAAATCAAAGTGTAATTAGGAAGTAGCCTGAAAAAATGGTGGAGTTAATAATATCCCCTTCAGTTGGGCAGGGGTTTTCCTACCTTTTGTTGACCCAGTAAAGGACTTTATTGGATCCTCTTCTATTTTTGGAAGGCCAAGACAAGAAGCAGTATTCAAGATAGTGTCTTTCCCTCTGCTGTTAATAGCAGGCTGTGCCTTTTCCTGTTGGATGAGGACCCTGCTACAGTAATCTAGACATTTTTGTGTCCTGCAATGTGCTTTACAGTATGTTAAACCTAAAGTTCACTCAGCAAATTTATTTAGTGCACAACATGGCTGCTTCCTTGTTTGGGTGAACTTTGGATTTCCTGCAGGGAGTACACTCTACTGTACAGAGTGTCTCGGACGGCCAGAGCCGACTCGAGTTGCGTTAGAAATTGGTTGTACGTTAGGGCGGGCTGGTGAATGGAGAGGCAGACACAACTTATCGGTTGCAAAAAACTTTACTCACGCCACTTGCAATCACGACGCAGGTGGTCCGGTCGTCTGAACAACCACACGAGTTGTTCCAGCTGGCGGGGCCCAAGCCAGTTAATCCGTCTGCAATTCGAAGCCGGCAGGGAAAGGGGTACGTCTGGGGTTGCGCTCGGTGACGGGAAGAAAGATCGATAGGTGATCAGTCTATCGATCGGCAGCCGCAAGTCAGATAACTTCAGAGGCACTCTGCAGCGTGCTCAAAGCTCTTTGACTTG